CAGCAGGACCTCGTCTGTCGAATATTTCTTACGACATTATACATCCAGAGGAACAGGTTCTATAGGCAGATACTCCCTCCATTTACAGCAGACACTAAACTGGTTATTTCAGTTTGAAATCTATTCCCCCCCGGGTCTGTTTTTAGCTGCTGTTGGACTTTGAATATGGGTCAGAGCCAGTCACAGCTGTAGGGTTTGGATGATTTATATTAACCCCTCACACTCACACAAACACAACAAAGAACGGTCAACATTATAATGATGATACAGATGACGTCAGCAGACTGAGTCATGTTTTTATACCACACCACACGTCTGTGAGCCGGACTTATCAGCAACAGAACCAGGAACTATAACACAGGACCAGGAACTATAACACAGAACCAGGAACTGGACCAGTAGGAAGAGAATTCCTCAGTTTTGACGGCAGCAGATTCATGTGTATGAAATCTTCAGAGGCAGTTTTTAAGATGTGAGGGAAAAAACCTTTATTCATTTTAATTGATTTATTGATTGATTCGATTGATTGATCAGACTGATTGATCAGACTGGTTGATTGATCAGACTGGTTGATTCTACTCCCAGCTGCAGCTTAGAGAGACGTCTCTCATCTTCTCCTTGAAAACCTGATCGAAGCGTTCATTCTGAGCGACTGTGAAGTGATTCTTCCAGTCGCCTGCTACACCTGTACGGACACAGACACGCACGACTGGGTCAAAGGTCATGAACTTTCACCTTGGCTGTTGACCAAACATATCAGAAAATGGTACGGAAACAAACGGGTGTGAAACCTGTGAGGAACAAACCTTTGCGCATGGTGTTCTTGGAGTAGCGTTCCTTCTCCACCAGATCCTTGTAGTTGGCCTTAGGGTTGACCTTCATGTTGTTGAAGGTGGAGGTCTCCACCACTCTGTCCATCTGCTCCTCTGTTAAAGACTGTCCCAGGAACAGACACAGTTTCTCCACCTCTCCTCTCAGGTCCTGGCGATCACGACACAAACAGTCAATGTTCTCATCGATATAAAAAACAAACACTGTTGTGTTTGTTTTTCCAGAACTGTTTCATTAGTGCAGGTTTGTTTTCCTTCTCGTTGGTCCCAAAAACTATTTTTTTATTCTTGGTGGAAAATAAAGACTGAATCGAATCTAAGGCACAGTATGGAGTATGGAAAGACATGTTAAGTGCGCCCCCTGCAGGACAAAGAGAGACATTACTTGATGTGTGCTCAGTCTGTAACATTTAGGAGATTAACAGAGAGAAAAATAGAAAATAAAATTGGCTTCAAAGATGCTCATGTTGACGGAATCAGTTAATCTCAGTCTGTTGAAAAAAAAAAGGAAATTCAAACCTTCAACATGTCTTCAAACTTCATGAAGTGGATCTGGAGTCGGTCGCGTTCTGCCTGATATCCTCTCACATGATCGAACCATGAGCCCATGTACACTGGGAAAAAGAATCACTTTGATGCCTTAAAGTGTCGTCAGATTAAAGGTTTGTTCTTCTCAAAACATCAGAGAAAGAAACGTTTTCTCTAGAAGTCAAGCTGCAGACAAAGGCTGGAGTTTCTTGTCTAGATAGCACCCTCTGGTGGACCTTAGTGATACAGTCATTCCGTCCTCTAGGAAGATGTGGATAATAGAGAGAACCAGGAGAGATCATATCTGAAGAACTTGACTGAGTAAACATGTCGTGTGAAGGAAGTGACGAACATTTGGTTTTTTGTCTCTGTCTGTTCTTCGTTAACGACGTTGGTTTTTGAACTTACCATCACCGTTCAGAAAGTCCTGGAAGAAATCCTCAAAACTCTTTGGTGATTCCAGAAAGACCCAGGCCTCGGAGAAGTGATACAGGGAGACCAGGACGTCTCTGGGGTTCCTCCAAACATACACGACCTGAGAGGAAAAACCTGCGTGTTTAACACCTTCGTTTTTTTCCTGATGTCTTTGGACTAAAGTAAAAATGTCCACGCACCTTCAGATTCTTGTTTTTCACATCACGCGGCAACATGTCCACCGGAAGGTGGGAGCCAAAGTACCGAGGATCAGGACGATCTCGGAAGGGCTCATCAAAAAGCCTGTCTTCCACCCAAGGAACACGGTTCCTGTTGATCAGATCTTCTGCCTGTTCAGGGTGAACAATGTCCATGATCTGGACCAGGATCTGCTGCATCCACACCGAACCTGCGGAGCTCAGAAGGCAGGGAGTAAAGACACAGAACCATCAGAACCATCTGGACCTTCATGAAACCAGGTGGACCAGCGACTGTCTGTCAGTAAAAACACATTTTTAACTTCATGTCCCAGAGACAAACAATGGAGCCACAATACCTGATTTTGGATACGTGACCAGGAAGACGTCAGTTGGACGCAGTTCCAGGTCCAGGAGAGCATCCAGGTCCTTGGGTCTCATTGGGTCCTTAAACAGAAAGTTTGTCTTCTTGTACCTGTACAGGGCAGAGTTCACCACGTCCAGAGAACTGTCAGAATCCATGGTCCTGGAATCAAAGTGAATATTGTTGGGAACAGGGTTTCTACCACAGAACAATTGAACTAGAGCTGAAGTGATCTTCCCCTTCCTGCAGATCCCAGCAGCAAGTGTAGATGAGAATCCAGTCGAACGAGTCGGTGCTTTAAAATATGTAAAAACCCCGTCCCTGTCCAATAACAGGCGTCAGAACACGTTGATACGTGTAATAAAATATGTAAAACCCCCCCGTCCCTGTCCAATAACAGGCGTCAGAAGTGACATGTGACTTGACTGGAATGATGGCAGTGATAACGCCCAAGGGTTCACTCTGAACTGCTGGATTTCATCTCGTTCTTACATTTATATGACGCAGCGTTGTGTCGTGTTTTTCTTCTTTCTTCCTTCAGTGGCGTCCTGTATGAACAGATCCACATCCTCAGAACTGGAGTTGTTCCATCCATGATCTGAACTCACAACAGTTCGGCCACAGCTACGACACAATGGACATCGAAAAGTGTCAATAATAACATCCTAAAGTTACAACATGATTAAAAAGACAAGTTCACATTTAACAAAACTTCTTATTAGCTGAACACATTTTTTCCCCCTCCACTCTGTTAAAGATGAGTTCAAGTACAGTGGAACCTCGTCCGTCGAACGACTCCTTTTTGTTGTCTGTTTTTGCTGGTATTTCTTGTGCTGTGTTATTTCTTTTCTTTTTTTATTCCATAAATTCCGGTGGCTAGTGAAATTGGAAAGGTGTAAAGTAAAATAGTGAGAGCAACAGTAGAAGTGAAGAAAGATTATACAAACATGAGAATGGTGCTCATGTTTCAGATCCGGCTTTACATTACGGTTTAGCATAGTCGTCAATTTGTACCATCCCTAAGAACAAGGAGGCTATAAAAGAAGCTAAGCTCAAAGGAGTGACTGTGATCACCAGGCAAAGATCTCAGACATTAGAAGAAGTGGAAAAGTGGCTACTGATTTGGGTCAACGTAACTCTGGACTGGCTAGAAGGTCTTGCTTGGTGCCAACTCTGGTTAAAGAAGAGAAACCATGTCGTTGGCATTCGTTTTATTCTCACAACCAAATGTGTGGGGACGGTGCCTTACTCAGAGCACCTCAGTGGTAACTTGGCAGCTGGTGGACTCGAACCTGAATCCTTCTGGACCCAAGTTCGCTTTCCACCAAGCCACCACTGCCCCAAAACGAGTGGTTTAGAACCATGAGTATAAACAACTGGAAGCAGCGCCACCAAGAGAACGAGGATGACAGTTGACCACTGATATAAAGGCAACATTTTAAAAAAAGATATTGATTTTTTTTTTCATTTTTCTTCTGTTATTTGTCGATGCTCAGCATCTACAGCTGTAGGACAGGGACGTCCCGCTGGCCTCGCCCTCTACTTCACTGCTGTGGAGCTCTCTGAGAAGCAGTGTAACAAATACAGACGGAGGTCGTTCTTTAAGTGTGAAACTATATGGCGCAATTAATCCCCCCCCTCCGGGGGGCTTGAATGATAACAAGCCTCCAGTGGTTTGTATCGTGGTGGATGGAGTGGAAGTCAGTTGGGTTTAAATGAAGTCAATGTTTTTTTTAATGGAAGTCAATGGGGTTTATCCAGTTTGACGCAGAGACTCCAGATGCTCAAGGACGCCTGCAATAAATACACCTTTAAATATTTTGCATATGTTTTTATATATTTATACATATATATGTATATATATTCAAGAACAACACATTTAAATATGACAGTACAACAACTGTTGGGCTCAAAAAAGAAAGATAAATGTTTAGACAAAAAACACAAAGAATATTCATATATATTATTTAACATATATATGCACTTATGTTAGCTCTAAAACCGTTTGCTCGGAGAAGAACATTGTGATCAGCTGAATGTTGTACATCAGAATAAAAGCCATTTGTCTGCAGCATAAACAAGGTCAGTGCGGCACAGCGTTTTCTCCGCTTTTATTAACATTGTTATTCCCTCTGTCAACACCAGGACTGAAAAAAAACTGAAAACGCTTTTTTTTTTTTCTCCAGTCCACAAACCGACAGTTTGAGGGTCAGGGGTCGAGGAGGTCATCTGTTCACCTTGTTAAGGACACCACACACACTGAATGTGGATCGGTGGTGCAGTGGCCTTAGAACAGGTTTGAGACTCAAAGAAGCTGTTAACAGTACACAGAACTTTCTGGACCAAAACCAGAACTGAGCAGCAACATCATCATCATCATCATCATCATCATCATCAGCACCAAAGCATGAGGCACTTTCTAAAGGCATAGTTCAGGGTTTCTTTTCAATGTGGGGAACCCATCAGAGACACAAGGCCTGGTATGGAGAGTAAATATGGCAACAAAATATGATTTTTCTAAACAAAAGTCCATAGAGAAAAGCAGTGAGTTTAACTCCCAGACTCCACTGCTGCCCCCTGTGGACGAAGGATGTCAAACGGTGAAGTCACAAGATAATTCATCTTAGGAATGAAGGCAGCAGCGGACGACTGTTAGGACTCAGAAAAATGACTGAATTTCTCTTTGAGGTTTGGCATAGGAGAGCAAGTCATTTAAAACAGAATTTAAAATTTAAAATCCGTCTCCACCTGTTAATTCCCAGAAGTTTGTCACTTCCTCAAACAACCTGAACTAATCCTTTAATAACCAAACACACAGACACACACACACATAATCAACTGTATGTTTACACATAGAATTCATTTCATAGGAAGGTAACTGAAGTCTTTACCTTTTGCTCTCATTGACACACCTCTCAGTTTAACGTCACGCTCCAGAGGAAAAGGCACTGTCTGGGCTGTTTCTTTCTTCTGTCACTCTGCTGCAGAGGGAATCAAACCCACATTCATCTTTAGTGTAATTCTCAAAGTCAACTTGGCTTTTGAATTTAAAAAATAAATGCCAGTACTGTTACTACGGCGCAGAGCAGAAGGTCAAAGGTCATTTGGATCTCATCTTATTTCTGTCCGAAAAAGTTCAACAAGAGGCAGAAACCTCTCCGATTCCCCTCTGCGTGTGCTGCAGATATCTTCCCATTTGTTATGAGAACTAGCTGGAGCTGATGTACACAACATTAAACACACATGTAAACCTGTGTTCAGTTCAGTTGCATCAAAACAAACAAACAAACAAAAATCGACAAAATAATTTCAGGAGGGATTTAAGACCTAAAGCAAAAGTGACTTACTCTCTTGGGGACAAAAGTCTACAGAGAAATCAGAGAAAAAATGATTTTAGCGCACAAACCAAAAACAGACACAGAGGTTACTGATCAACTGCTGCCTCCTGTGGTCAGTTTGTGTCACTGTAGTAAAACTAAACTGAAATGATTTCAAACGCTGTAGATATTTTAGATGAAATTCAGTTTTTATTAACAGTGTGTTTCGTTTTTGACATGTCGCTTCTAGCAGCAGGGGGCGCTAACAGCTGGTCAGGTCGGTCAACGCGTGACCACTTTTCTTAAATCACGATGAATCACTTTTTTTCTCTCAAGTCTTTCTGTCTCGAATGCTGAACTGTTCAAACAACTAAGTGTAGAAAATCGTTTTCAACTTTTCTCCAAACATGACAGCAGGTGGCGTTAAAAGTCCACGTCTTGATGGATAACAGTATAACAGACCAAACATTAGTCACGAGCTTCCACAACCTGACACAGTTCGTACACAAACATCGCGTAAACAAGTCAACAGTCTATTGCAATAATAATTAATGTTGGTTATTACTGTTTTTCATAAACATACGATATATTTCTTATTTTTTAATAATATTATACTACATTTGTTTTCTGTTAGCAAAAATAAGTGGTGTGCATTACGTCATTTAAAATGTACAAATATACTTTCAATCTGGCTTTTTTAAGAAGGCTTTTAGACACAAGTGAAATCACCAAAAGGCGGCACTGTCTACGAAAGGCAGTTGTTTTTTGTTTTGTTTTTTACCAGAGAGTCGTCACGGAGAAGGAAAGGCGCTCTTCGTACCGTTCAGAGGTATGGATATCGTGGAGGTTTGATCAACACTGACATTCACTGATGGTATGATACTAGTTTTTCATCTACTCTTGCTTGTGACTTTCCCACCAGGGGGCAGACAAGTTACTCTAAAGGCTGTTCTTTTATATCAGGGATTCCCAGTCTGAAGACTAGTGTGCTGCGAGACAGCATCAGGTTAGCCATGGAAAATGATCCAATATCATTTTTTTTTAAGTCAGACAGATGAATACTCTTCCACTAGGTGGCAGCAGATGACTGAACTACTGAGTGAAATGAGAGCCTTTCAGAGCTTGTCAATAAGATCAGATCTTTCTGTGTGTCTTTCTTCAATTCCTGTGAGTATATCAGCATGGTGTTCCACTGAACTGATTCAGGCAGATTAAGTAAAGTGTGAGTAAATAGAAACCGCAAATTATCTGCGAATTATCTGGTTTCTGACATTTCTTTCGGTGGTGTGCTGTGGGATTTCTCTCAAGTAAAATATGTGCCATCCCTCAAAAAAGTTTTGGAAACTGTTTTACATTAAGGCTGGCATTTGTTCCAAATTATCTCGAGAGTAAAAGTCATGATTTGAGGACGCAAGGCAGCAAGATGCCGCAGACTTTCACCCCTAGCAGTGCGTATCCATCATTGGATACTGTTAAATGAGGAACTGGTACCAACTTGGTGCCGATTCCTCCCCGATACCCATCCCTGACGCTTACTGCAACAAGTGAGTAAAATAGCAGAAGTCCCGAGGTCACTGGAGCGTCATTCTGTCTGCCTGTCACAGGGTCGCCTCTTTAAATTGTTTCTTTTTTTTTTTTTTTTCCTAAACCCCTCCCACCCACTCCAGAATCAGAAAGTAGCACCACACTTGTGTTCAGGTCACCAACACTGGCTTCTTTTAGTGCACATTAAAGAAACGCCCCACCTCCGACCAGCCCACAGACACCTGGAGCAGCTTCAGTTCTGTTGGAGACCAGCGGAGGCAGAGCCCCGTCGCCAACAGTGGCCCTGCAGCTGGGCTCCACTCTCTGGGTCGGTACGGTTGTGTTAGCATGTCAGTTCCATGTCTTTATGATCCTGAATTTTGAGGTCAACTAGCACAAACAGTTCATTGAGGGAACCGACTTGTTAAAGGTGCAGTAAACAGAACTTTTTTTTTTTTTAGTGTTTTTGGTCATCTTTCTGGGATAAACTCAGAAGCTACGGGACTAAAGTGACATTCAGCGCGTTTCTAGAGTTTCCGCAGAGCAACTTCTTCTGCACAGCGTGCGGAACCTCAGACACCGGAGCCAACATTTCTTTCTGACCAGCACGACACCTGCACTCTAGGCCACAAGTTAGCAGTCCAATCACTCACACCACAGTTCTACAGAATCCTCCACACTGGTGCAAACAGTTTCAATTAAACTTGAGGAAAAGGACCAAACCAGGGTCTAAGGTTCAAGATCAGAGTGTTAGGAGGACGGTCCTCCAGGGCCCAGGCCTCAGGACAGCTGGATGGTTTAAGTAAGGACACACCTGGGTCCCATTACAACTAACCAACAACAGGTCAAACGTTGCACTACTCCTGTGCAGCCTAACCGTCTGGCTCCACCCACCCAAGGCCCTCTGGCACCATCTAGTGAATATGTAAAAAAAAAAGTGAGCAAGATCCACTCAAACACCACTGCAGAGACTCAAAGATGAAACAAGACAGATGTTCAGATGTTTGTTCAACGACTGGTGCGATGTGGCAGAGACGTCAGCAGACAGTAGTGAAAAGCCAAGTCCCTCCCTCCTGACTTTCAGGGCGAAGAGTCGTTTAGAGGCATCGGGTGAAAATCTCTTCTTTTTTTTTTTCTTTTTCTTTGAATGACTCCTCATCTTAAGGCTGAGCAACTTCCTCTCCTCAACGCGTCCACCTCACTTCCAGGCACTTAAACTGTTCGACTTCTGCTTCCGAACGCGTTCTAAACTTTTCTTTAAAATGAAGGAGGAACTAATCTTTAACTGACCATCAGCAACTCTGAGGTTTTGTGCTGCTGCAAACGTGAAAAAGTTCTGGTCCACAGTTCAGAGGCGCAAACCCAGACACGGGTTCCTCACAAACATCTGCTGCCTCACATATGCCAGAGATGAAAAAGAAAGGGGGCACTATTTCTCCGCAGTCCCTTTGTTTGACTGATTATTGCACCAGGAGAAAAAAAAAAACCTGACACAACTGCAACACAAACACTCATCTCCAGCTTAAGAAAAACCATGAGTGATAACAGCTACTGCAACTAAAAACATCAGATTAAATGTTTACATGAAGAGAGTTCACATGATGTCCATGATGGAAGATAAAAAACAACAGTGTTATACTTTTAAATAAAATCCATACATGGTTGTGGTGGTGTATACACGCATATATATGTATATATGCACATATATATATACATATGCACACACACACACATATATATATACACACATATGTTAAACACATGCTTAAAAAAGTAAAAAAAAAACTGACCCAATCACCTCCTCACCAGCAGGTGGCAGTGTGCCCAGAAAAAAAGCTTCTGTCTACATGCAAAGGTCCAGGTGGTACCTTCCCTATCCACAGTGAGTCGCTGTGTCTATTTATTGCGGCTTACACAAAGGCGAGCAAAGTTGTGGCGTTAGGTGCACACACCTTCAATGACCAGTAGGGGTTCTTTTTGTTCCACTGCTTTCTCCTTAACTAAATTTGTCTCATAAAATACCGGGACTGAAACATGCGACATCATCACCAGGTAAACACTTGACTTCACTCCAAAATCCAAAAGAATGACTTTAAATCCTAACATTAAAACCCTGTGTGCGTTCGCCTCAGCTGTGTTCTTTTCCTAACAGAGGGCGCTCCGGGGCAAAAGTACCAAAGTATTGTGTCATTCTGATTGACAGCTCAGTCCTGAGCAGACAAACAACTGCAGCTGAAGAGGTCTTGGCCTGTCCACAACCCTCAGTTTGTGGGCTACAACCCACATAATGTAGGATTAGTGAATTTCTTTAATCCGAGTTTGAAAACATCAAACATCGTATGACTTGGTGTCAGGGAGTATTAGCTGGAGCTAAACCTCAAACAAACGACAGAGGAAAAGAATAAATGATGACAACCGTGACTCTAAGGGAGTCCAGTGACATCAAACAACAGCTGACCCCCCCCCCCCCCCCCCCCCCCCCCCCGCATCGCCCTCAGAGAGGACGTCCCACTTCCTTCCCTTCCATCCTTGTCTTTCTTTTCTCTCAAACTTTATGAGATGTTTAAAAAGCAAACTGAAAAGTGCTGAACTGAGCTTCAGTGGGTGGTGAAGGAGCGGATTGAGCTCAAACAAGCCACTAGTGGGCAGCAAAGAGGAGAAATAAAATAAAAACCTGTATAAACCTGCCAACGTCCTGTCTCCTGGGGTTCTAAAGAAGCAGAATCCGTTTAAAGTGGTAAGATGCTCCTCCTCCATGACTCCTCCCCTCCGCACAGTGTCAGGTCCCAGTCAACAAGGTGTGTGTTTGTGTGTGTCTGTGTGAGCGCCGTGGTGACTGGCAGAGTGGGCGGAACTCATGCGAAGTACATGGTCCTCAGCGTGTCGTGGTGGATCTGAACAGCTTTGGCAAGAGCCTGAGGGTCACGACCGTTACTCTGACCAGACACATGACTCCCCTCAGCACTGTGAAGGAGAGAAAAGGAGGGGGGGCAAACAGGAGAGGAGGGGAGGAGAAACAACAAAAAACAAATAGGGGAGAGCAGAGACGAGGAGTACAGTTAGTGTGTAAAACCACCTTGAATAGTCCAGTTGCAATACAATACTCTTGGCCATGAGAGGGCGCTCATTGACAGGCTCAGTTCAGTGTGAAGTGTTGTGTCACCTGTCGTGCTCTTTGTCCACCAGGTGGTACCGAGCTCTGAAGGCCACCAGGTGAGCGTAGTAGGCCGGAGCGGGGATGGAGACGGAGCGGGTGCAGCGGACGTAGGTGTGGCACAGCTGGTAGGTGAGCAGCTGGAACTCATCTGCTGTGAAACAGTTGTCATCCCATAGAACGTGGTAGTGGGAGGGGCGACTGGTGCCCTTTAAAAAAACAAAATACAACGGAACAAAAAGTAAAAAAAAGGCTAATGACGTCAGGGAATGTGAGGGAGTGGGAGGAGACGAGAGGAGCAGACAGTCAAGAAGGAGCGCTCACCTGGATTCCAGCATGACTGCAGAGGTAAAAGTCAAACTCGTACGGATGAGTGATGTCCGTGTCCACGGTGGTTCCTGCAGGAATGTTTCCACTTCGTCCCACCTGGTTGTGATGACGAAAACAATCACAGCAACAACTCTTGTTAGTGACTGTTTCCTTTTCATTTACCAGTGTTTTTAAGGACTTCATTAGAATTCAGACTCCTGAATGAAACACACACACACACACACACAAAGGTAGATGGGAAATGTCCAGCCGGGCGTCTGTAGGAAGAACAGGAGGAGCGCTCTCACCCTCTCGTTGCGGTCAGCACAGAACAGTCGGGTGTGGTGTCGTTTCTGGACCACGATGTAGGTGATGCCCGGCTGGTACTCCTTCTCCAGACTGATGCAGGCCTCGCGCACGGCCAGCAGCTCGTAGTACAGCACCTGAGCCGACACATTCTGTGAGTCAAAGTTTTCTGGACTCAGTCTGGCTGGGGTTCAGCTGCTTTGAGCCAAGTGTACTGGGAACATGCATGTATTTATTGTTTTTTTTTTTTTTCATTTATATCATATTTTTATATCTGGCTTCTTTTCTGTTGGGTATGTCTCTGTAGGTCCTCAGTCGTCCAGGTCATCTTATCCAAAAATAGTTACACTGAGGGCAACATTTACTGGTGTGTTGTTTGTCCCTCATCAAACCTGTGGGTTCTGTGAAGTTAAACACACTCGGCACTGACCTGTCTGAACTGTCCTTCTGAGACGCCGTCTCTGTAGAAGATGATCCTGGTGGGTTTGTAACGTGTCGACTTATAGAACTGGATCAGCAGCTCCCGCACCATAGAGGCTAAGTCCTGGATCACTTCCTGTCTGGGTCTCTGGACCCGCACCGTGGCACAGTACCTGCTGGGGTGAGCGTCCATGCTGCCCACCACCTGCAACAGGATGACAAGTGTTTAAAAACATGGTTCCACTGCAGATAATACGGGTACTGATGTAGTAGGAAGTAAAACCATGTGTTTCTTTTCAGTAGGAAAATAGTTCCAGAAAATCACCAACTGTTTGGTTTCTCTGTCAAGATTTAGTTGAGAAAAACTGTGTCAGGAATGAAGTTATTGGTACCCACAGTTAGGTGGTTCAGGACAGACACTGTGGTCATTTTTAAATGGTTCCTGGAACTAAGGATTTCTGGTACTTTTTTTGGGGGAACCATAGTTTCTGAAACAGAACTGTGTAGCTGGGATAGAAGAGAGCAGAGGGAGATGATCTGAGATGATCTGAGATGGAAGACCAACTCACAGCAGCGATGGAAGGCTTCTTCCCATCTCCTGCAGGGGGGTGTGTAACATCTGCTCCCAGGAAAATCACCGGCTGCTGAAACACCGACGGTCTGACGATCCAGAAAACAGCACGCGGGAAAACACAGAAAACCAGAAAATGTTTTACAGACAGGAAGCTGCTGCATCTACAAGAAAACAACTTTACATGTAACAAAAGTAAAGCTGCTGTGGTCATTGTTGCCAGTAGGTGTCAGCAGTGAGACCAGATTTGTCTGATCCACAATAAGTTACACTATAGTTTACAGTACTTCACAGGTCACAGCTGCACTCAAAGGTCACAGTTCAAGGTTTGACGGGTCAATGGCTTCGGTTCACATGTCACATTCACAGGTCATAGGTCAAAGGTTACAGTTTCCAGTCATTGGTCACACTGCCAACACTTATCTAACTCAGAGGTTGTTCTTCTCTATCGTTGCAAAACTAGCTTCACATATTTCCAGTATGAGAGCACCCCCCTGTGGCTGAGAGGTGAACTGCAGACACCAGTTGTCACTGTCACTGACCGTTGGTGAGGAACCAGGATGTTGTTGATTCCTCCCAGCTTCACGTTGATCTTCAGGCAGAGGTTGGAGAGGGTCTGAGGAGACGTCTTCACCACGTTCTTCACCTGAACACACTGTGTGGCCATGCCCAGGAGTGTGTCGCCCACACGCTTCACCTCCGCTGGAAAACACCACAACTGTTTTTATTGAGTGAGTTTAGATTTGGAGCTGACCTCCATCTTCTCTCCACCCAGACTCAGTGATTGTAAGTAATTGTGTGGATTTCTGACCAACATAAACAATAACTCTCTCATGATGTGACCAAACACCTGCACAGGTCATACAGTACTACTGTGTGTACCCTGGTGTGTACCCTGGTGTGTACCCTGGTGTGTACCCTGGTGTGAACGGAGGAGTGTCTTTTCTTACCGTAGACTGGAGTTTTCCCCGGCAGGATGACGATGATGAGCTGTAGCCCGGCGTACGTGTTCTTCAGGTGTCGGAACATGGGCTCCACACTGTCTGCTCCCTGGGCGTATTTACAGAAACATGGCTGACCCTGGATGGGCATCCCAGCATCCTTAGAGATCTTCCTCAGCTGGTCTGTGAACCCTCTACAACAGGAGGAGGGAGGAGTCAGGAGGACGGAGCAGAGCACTCCCTCACACACAACACAAGTGTGTGAAGGTGAATGTTTACACACAGAGTCAGCAGAGGTTAAACTAAAACTAGACTGAACTTGATCTACAGAAATGAAAGCGAGTCAGACACAGTCAGAAATTGTTTGGTGTCAGAAACAACGGGTCGTCAGAGACAGTCGGAAGACAGACAGAGTGGGACATCAGAGACTGCGGGATGTCACGGACACTTACTTGAGGATTTCTTCTCGACACTGCCTCTGTGTGGCGAAACAAGCGATGGCCCACATCTTGATCTCCACTCCGGTGTGGAACTGCTTTCCTCTCATGTCCCACACACCATGACTGGGCGTGGCTACGGTGCGATTCTGTAATGACATCATAGTGTCAGTGCAGAGTCTGAAAAGGCACATGATGTTCAATGGCTCTTACATGTGGACAGACAGACACA